AGCAGGCAGCAGGAAGATGGCAGGATGAGGACAGTGTGCAGGATAGTGAGCAGGCAGCAGGAAGATGGCAGGATGAGGACAGTGTGCAGGCAGCAGGAAGATGGCAGGATGAGGACAGTGTGCAGGACAGTGTGCAGGCAGCAGGAAGATGGCAGGATGAGGACAGCGCGCAGGACCAAGAGGTGAGTTAGAAATTAGGCTGTACTTTAAGATTTACTGTATCATCAAGACAGATATTAGCCTAATAGACAAATATTTATTTCTGAAGGCTGTTGGAGCTGGGAGGACTGAGAGGGCAGGAATAACACCAGACTGCTGGACCAGACCAGGCTGTTTGTAAATGTACAGGCTTATTACTTTTATTAGTATACTTCTTCTAGGATAATTCCTGGCAGTTACAGTATCAAAACCAAGTTCTTTTGGTTAGGGATAAGGATAATGAGATCTTCTGTATTGATTCTCATTTTGTCGCATGTCCAGACCATGACTGTGTGTTGCATACATGTTAGTAAACACCCCTGGCGCATCTTGCACTCTTAACATTGATCCTGGTGGCTATTCGTATTGACGCGGTAGCGGACCGTAATGGTCATATAAGTGTTATGAAGGCAGTACCCCCCAATTATGGAGGGGTAATTCGCACTCTGGATCAGAGTGTAGCTTAAACTTAGCCATGTACCACAGACCCTGCAGGTGGTCATTGAGTTGTATGTCTGCATTTAATATTCCTGGCTAAAGTTGGTCCACCTGGCATATACGGGCACCAAGGGCACCGTGGAAGGCCTGCCACTAGGCCAGTAAGGATGCTGTAGACTCCCTGACCTCCAGCCGGCTACTCGCAGTCATAGATATCAGAGCTGTGGCCTCCACACAGCTGGTTCCATGACTCAGATGCAAGCTGCCATCTTGAGGGAATGATTAATTACACAAACGAGCCGGCAGGTGCCACAGCTGTTCTTGCGCAGCCCCCAAGGATAGGAGCAGAGAGTAGTCAGCGCCACGCGTAGACGCTACCGTCAGACTGTCAGGCAGCAGCGGGCAGACTGCAAAAGCGGTCGCTCCGCCACACAGCACCAATAGACAGACAAGGAGGACGTGCGGCCACAGGTGGATCCAAGCTTACCGACCCCTCAGCCCCAGGCCATAAAGAGACTTTCAGGAAGTCATGATGTGTTTGAAAGCCATCCAGGTGCTTCACACAGTTTGCACATCAGCCTCTGTGAGGCTTGAGGTGGATCGAGACCAGCCTGTGGGCATTAGCTTACGGGGATAAAGTTGAAGGAGAAGTCTGGCGGACACTCTGTTGTAATCTAAACATAGATCTTTGCTCTCCAGTCAATGTACAAACAAGGAACACGCTCTCCGAGTTCCTGAAAAGATCAAGTGTCGGCAAGGACTAGCATCAGTTTGAAAGCCCCGAGAATGAGCTCTGTTAGGGTTCTCTTCTCAGTGAGCTTCTGAACTGACGAGAGCACCACCACAAAATGGAAGAGCTCCCGATAACAGCCCTCAACTACACACAGCGCTGGATTACTGGCCTGTGTTACAAGGCTGCGCTTGGAGCACATTGAAGGCTCCTCCAGGCTAGAGACAAATGGTACCGGCCACCTTGTCTATACAAGCAGTCATTAAAGGCTAATTACTGGAAATGCAATGAAGGCAAAGTGTCTCGGTTTTACCAAAGCTAATTATGGCTAATTACAGTACTGGCTCATTAAAACGGATGCCCTTTGAATTAATGTATTCAGACAGTGCTGTTTGCAGATTCACACGGCTGCGTGTAGGACAGCTTATCAGCATTTCAACATTAAACTGA